CTTTCCAGATCTTCCAGTTCTTTTAACATGTCAAACTCTGGAGATTTGTTCATGAGCGTGCAGTCACTCAATGGGGATTCTTACCAAGGGGCCCAGGTTGGAGCCAACGTGCAATCACAGGTAGGGACCCATCCGATGTGCTGCCAGCGAATGCGTTAGTGTTGGAAGAGCCCTTGATTGTATTGGCATTTCCCACTCTGGCCCCAAAAGAGAAATCCGAAGGGGTGCAAACAAACCAATCGGACAAACCCACAAGCAAAATGGCCCGCCCCCCACCAAACCAAACCATTGTCTTGGGGAATCTTGCCCACACTTTGTGAATGCATTTGGCTCTGGCTTGTTAGCGTGCGTTCGGAGAGGTTTCCAAGTGCAGGCGTGTGGCTCCAATGACGTTCGCCCAGGTCTAGCGCGCTTGCTTTATGTTTCAAGGGGCGGGACCTGCTGCTCGTACGGGTGTCTCGTGTGCCAGGCTTCCGCTCGTTCGCTCGGTGCCGATGCTTGGTGTGTGCTGAAAGGAGAGCGAGGCTGAAATGTACCAATATGGCCCGTTTTAATTAACAACCAACCGCGCAGGCTTAGGCAGTCCCGCTTGAGTCTGATGAGACAGGGAAGGGCTTTGGGGCATCCTTTCAGGAACATCAGCAGCTGTGGACAGCAGAGGGTCATGCCCGTGAACGATCTGAGATGCACGTACGGTCGTCTGTAGGCTTCTCGCTTCCCATCCACCCCAAGAAGTCCATGGACAGTCAGGGCTTTTCAGATGGCAGGAGGTGATGCCCATTCAAACATGTCCACCTTGGCAAAGAGCATTTCTATGTCACATGGAGCCTGGATGCAGAACAAGGCGTCATGGATGGGGATCAACCAACGTGTGGCGTGGGACGGTCATTGGGGGAGTGGGAGAGACCTCTTGCCATGGTCCGTATGCACGTTTCATGCCCTTGAAAGCAAGTAGAGGAGCCACGTGAACAGAGATCCCCTAGATTTTGTGTCTCTTCGGTCGATATGGGCACCCCGGGGTTGAAGCATGGAGGGGCAGAGATCGGGAAGTGGAGTCCAGAGCTCCCGTCATGAGCAGCAGCAAGCCCCCACCGGGTTTGCTTTCCTCCCCCCGTCTTTGCTGTGATGCTCAGAACTGACCACCGACAGTTATAGTGCCGGCAGGAGGTGTCCTCCATCTTCCACCCCAAGAGCTGCTCTGAAAACGATCGTGATGTTTGGCGGTTGTTGAATAACGCGTCCAAATGCAAACCAGAGCAGCTTTGCTTAATCATCTCTCTCTGTCTCTAACTTTCTCCCTTTTGTTGTTGGTCTGTCTAGGTGGATACCCTTCGCCATGTTATCAGCCAGACAGGAGGATACAGTGACGGACTTGCAGCAAGTCAGATGTATAGTCCGCAGGGCATCAGTGTAAGAAAAATAGGCTTGTTTTTCTTTTCCTTTGTGTGCGTGTGTGTGTGTGTGTGCGAGCGTGCGCACGCTTTGGTTTTGTTCTCTCTCACTCCCAATTATTTCAAAGCCATAGGGCTCAGAATGCCACTTAGTAGCACTTGTCTTAGCTTTACGGTCACCTAGTTTATTGCTTCTGTATCGGTCACGCCGCCGGCAGAGTTCTGCCCACAAAAAGTGGCGACTAGGCAGGCTTCGTGCAGGCAGCTGGCGTCTAGGCCTGTCAGACGCAATCAGTGTTTGCGAGGCACCTGCGGCCACATGCGTTCAGCTGAGAGGAGCTGCTAAACAGGTGACACCTAGTAGACCAGTGGTAGGGGATGTCACCACGAGCCAAGGCCTTGAAATAGCCACAAGAAGGCCAATGGTCACAGCCCATCCTGGACAAGCCGGAGGGTCTAAAAATAGCCCTTCCCCTCGCCAGCGTTTCGAGCCGAAAAACAACGATGAAGATGGAAAACACGGGGGGAGGGTAAAAACCATCTTCTACTTGTTCTTGGGTGCGCTGGCGGCTCCCGAGCAGCATGAAAATTCATAGCGACAAGCTGTGTCGTACCGAGTGAAATCGATCAGACAGACACAAGGAGAACGGAGTGTAGATTCGGGACAGCAATCCAACTTCATTTCTCAGATCAATCGTCCGCCCTCTCAGCGGCGGTGACAGCAAGCGGGGACAAGAGGGCAGCCTGGAAAAGGAGGCTGTTCTTGGGGAGTGGATGTTTTTGGTGGATTTTTTTTTCCTCTGGCCCTTTTGGAGGTCACGGAATCAGGCGGGGAAACGTGCTAGCAATGTTGTTTTGGCTTTGGTGCCCGACTGGGGAAGAGAGGGAGAGCAAAGGAATCCGTTGGCGTTGGGGGCACAGGAGAGATGAAGGGTTTAGACCCCATCCTTGTCTCTCCAGATACCCTTCCCCATTCATATGTTGCCCACCCCAGGGGATCTGTTCCAAACTAGCCGCCTCCACTAGAGAGAAGGTGTCAGACACGTTTGGCTCTGCCAGGCATCCTCCATGGGTTCGTGCCATTTTGAAACAAAGGGGAGCAAGAGGTGATATGAGTGGAAGCATTAAAACAGCCTCCGTGGACTCACTTTCCCTCTGTCCATTTTGAGAAGCTGCCCATGGCCTTTCAAACCCAAACGTTAGCACACTGAGGTGGCATCCAGCCGTCTCAGTCCATCCGTGACCAGCTTGCACATTGGGCTACCCAACGGGAATCCCCGTGCTTTGATCCCCCCTCGTGTTTCCCTAATGGCACCACACAGAGGCTGAAATTAGAGATTTCCTTGTGGCGGGCAGCAAATCAAGACCCGCCTGTCATTGGGCTGGCCAAAAACATAATCCACTGAAGGAGGTTTGTAGAGAGAGAATGCCACCATGCATGGAGAAAAAACGCGGTGGAAGTCTTGGCTCATGGCTGTGTTTATTTTACCTTTTGTTTCTTATTATTTTCTGAATCATGCTACTGGACTGCTATCACGGAGGCCTGACGTCACAAGGCCGAGCTGGGCAGCTTTGTGAAGTAATGCAACTGAACATGTGCAGATAATTATGTCTGATTGCATAAGCCAGTTGCAAAAACTGTGCTTGGCAATGCCAGATGAAAGATCCCATCGTTCCGCATTAATTTCTATGCGAGCTGAATTTATTCCCTTTCCGGCTTCTTCATACTGAGGAGCAAATGAATCGGAGGCTGATTGTGATCAGATATGATACTTTCGTATAAATTAAAAGACCCCTGAGGAGAGGCTGCGCTTGTTGCGACCGGGGAATTATTTGAAAATAGCCACATTCTGGGTTAAGTCAAAAATATGCGAGGAGTTGCTCCGAAGGGAGGGGGGGTGGGATGAAAGAGACGCAGAGAAGGGAGAGCAGCCCCAAAAGCCAAATACAAGGCAGAGAGCCTGATAGAGCACCCCCGCTCTGTTCATCCAGGTACTACAGGCCAGCCACAGACCTGGGGGGACCCAAATGACCTACGGCCCGGCATTAGCCATTCGGAAGTGGCAATGACACAGATAGGAGCTGCTAGCTTGTGCGCCGTGTTTCCGCTTTCTGTTTGGGGGTGTCGGGGATAGGATGGCAGGTTTTGGGGGGAAAGGAGAAGGGTTTTTTCCAAAAGGGGGGAGGGGATGGCAAATTGGTGAATGGCTTCTGGTGGCTAAAAGCTGGTTGTTCCTGGCTGCGTTGGTTGGGTGTTATCATTGCTAAGCGTTGCGCCTCGCTCATCTGTTGGATGCACTGACCCGTCGCTCAAGTAGGAGGCAGAGACCAGATTATTTGCAAACAAGCAGCAGTTTGAGAAACCGTCTTTGTCACTCTCTACGAGACGCCTTCGACTGAAGACTTTGGGTCCCTGCCAGCACACTGCTATACATAGCGTTCCTCACCAGCTAACTCCTTTCACCCCCAAGTGCTCCACAAACCAGCTCGGCAGAAAGCCCCACCCCACCCCTGAAACCTAGCCACCTCTGGGGAGGTCTCTGATGGCCCTTCACCACTCGGCAGCAAGGTTCAGGTGGGGCGCGGATAAGAACGCCGCGTCATGCTCAGATGACAGGCTGAGCAAGCTAGAAACGTCGCACGTGGCAGAACAGCTCAATGGGAACCAGTTGCATGCCACGTTGGCACAGAATTCTCCACCGCTGGAGTCGCAGCTGTCCATATGGAGGTGGGAGTGTCGAAGGGAGAGTTGCCAGCCACCCAGGAGGCCGTGTGTCGCTGATCAGAGCCTATGCCATCATGAGAAGGGCTCCGAGAGGGGTGCGTTAAAACGGGGCCCTACTTGAGTTCCCTACAACGAGTTTGAAGGTTGTAAAAGCCACCCTTTTTGAAATTTCCTTTTTTTTTTTTTTTGGATCCCTCTAGCAACAAAAATTGGACTGACTTACTGATAGATGCTTCCAAAATCGAATATGCCTTCTCTTGGAAAAGAACCTTCCCATGGAAACTTTTGTCTTATAAACACGTTTACTCTTGGCCACGTCTGTTTGCTCTGTGCTGTTTGTCCTACGATGGTCCTGGTCAGTATCGGGGTGTATTTTTGCATCACCTGCTCTCCACACTGCATGGGTGGTGTGATGCGTTTTTGCAGGAAGAGGCAACTCGGGGACGTTGACAGAGGCAGGAGCCTTTGTCCATGGGTTCCTCCTTCGCAAGGAAAGCATCCGTCGTGATATGGCGCGGCTAGTGCCGAGGATCAGGGCTTTGGGAGCTGAGCTGTGAGCAAAGACTCTCGCTGAGCTGCAGTCCTGTGGACTGTTTGGGAATGTCTGTTCCACAAAAAATAAAGATAAAACCCGGCAGCAATGAATCCCAGTCAACGGGCTTGACTCTGAGCCTCTCAGCCACCAGTGGTTTTTTGCAGTGTAGACGTGTCTTCTAAGATCCATAGAAGAAGGAAGTTCCTCCTTTCTGCATCCTAAACCGTGCAAGAAGGGAGCTGCTATAGGAACCCCTTTGTTAACCTTGGAAAGCCTCTTTCTTCCTGCTCTTCTGTCCCCAGGCTCTCAGTCAATGGGTTGCTGAGCAAAGATGTCCCGTCACGGTGCCATCCCATTTTCTCCCAGTAAACTACGAGCCCAGCACTTTCGGGGTGGGATTTTCAAAGGCGCGTGGACTTAAACCTGATTCTGCTCCCTGGGAAATCAGGGGACCCCGATGTTGACAGATGGGGAGTTAAGCCAACGTGGAGCATCTTGGAAAACCCCACCCTTACGTCGTTAGCATGCCGTCTTCAAGAAAAATGACCATGGGGAGCAGCAGACTATATACAGCCAGCGGGTGTGAGGGAGCAAGGTGCCTGCTAGAGTTTAAATCAGGGGTGTGTGTCAAGAGTGGAGCTGGGTATGGAATGGAGTTGAGGCAGCTGCACAGCCAGGAAAACAATACGCTCTACCCATTGCAACAGCTTCAGCTATGCTAATTTCTCCAGCTACATCTCTACAGTTCAGAGGCCTGGTTCCTGCTGTTTCCCATGGAGAGCTTTGTGGGCAGATGGATAAAGGAGCTGCCCCAGTTAAAACTCTCACTGCTGGCTGTGCAAAGTGTTACGAGAAGATATGATTATTGGAGACCTACTTTGTCCACGCTAACTGGAGAGCCATTCTCCCCAGCTGATGTTTGGACTTGGGTTTGGTCCATCATGCTTAAAAATCTTATTTAAAACACAAACCCTAGGAAATTCTCCCGCAAAACACCCGCAAGTTAAAGTTACAGTTGCCCAAGTAACACCACAAACGCTAAAAAACAATACGCGCGCTCTGCTCAACACCCAGTATCCAAGCAGTAGCCCAAGACCATCATGAAACTCATCCAAAGAAGCACATTGAAGACCATGCAGCGCAGTGCCACACCCTCCGTACACAAGTCAAAGAACTGAAAATTGCACTGCAATGCGCAACCCGCACCGTGACCTGCTAGTATGTTTCCTTCTAGAACATTATGATCTATGTAAAAGACACAGCATGTGCGGCCATTTCAGTAATATCCGGGGATGGCTTTATTTACCAGCGTGTCTCTGCTCACGCATCGGAGTTGTTTTGAAGGCCGCAGGGTAAATTGCCATTAGACGTGTGAGTTTGATAAGGTGGGAAACGTTGATCCACTTGCAACTAACGGTGGATTCTTTGGTGGCTGGTGTTGGGAGGGTGCCAAAATGGTGAGTTGATGGAGATAATTGTGGGTCATTGTGGTGGTGGACGGGTAGATGTTAAGGCTGGGCAGGACGGGGTAAGTTCAGTTCTCCTGGGAATGGACTGGCTGTATGGAGTGTGACTGTGATGGGGTAGACGGGAGTGCACTGGAATGGGGGGGGGGTTGAAGAGTGGCTCAGATTTCTGAGAACCCACCCTGTTGTCAGGGTTTAGACTCTCTGAAAGGCTGTTTGTGGAGTCCAGGGGCCTCTCCTTCACACCTTCCCCGTGCGGGGAGGAGCTAGGAAGCCAAGATAGAGGTGGTGCTGGTGGGAAGCCCTAGAGACAACCAGGCCCAGCAAGAAAGCTTCAGCAAAGGGCTCGGTTGCGGTAGGGCTTTTGGTTTGTTTTCTGTTAAGCCATCCAGTCAACCTAGATCCAGGTCTGTCGGCCCTGGCGAGGTCAGAGTCAGGCCTCAGCCCCGTCACCTTGCATCCCAGAAGTGGGGAGCGTGGACTTCTCCTCTGAAGACAACAACAATGGGCCGAAGTAGCAGAGGGACGAGCAAGCTTGCCCTGCAGTGAGAAGCAGGAGGCCCCGCCTGAGTTCATCCCTTCTTCTGGTGACTCATGAACGTTGAGCAAACCGCACAAGAATGGCAGCCACAGCTCCAGAAACAGCTGCTTCAAGACTAATTAACCTGGCCGGGCAAACTCAGGCCATCCGTGTGCAAGCACGGGGGCCAGAAGATGGCCGCTACATCCCATTGGAAGAGGAGTCTTCGGCTCTGAGGGCATTGGCACATGTCGAGTGAGCTCTGCGTGGGGGGCTGCCGCCAGGGCAGATCGCTACTATCTTGGTGCAATTAAGGTGGGTTGGAAGAGAATGACCATCAGTAACTGTGAGATGAGCCGACTGCTCCTGGTGGGCAACTGAGCATATGGCGCAGGTAATCATTGGCCCCACCCAAGGTCCGATAATAGGGCTGGATAACATGCCTGAGAGGGTGTAGACATGGGAGCATCAGGCCCAGTCCTCCACACTCGACAGTTGGCGCAGCAGCCAGGAGAATGTCTGGGGATGATCCTGTCAGCAAGACCATCACGGCCATGTGGGGCAGCCGGGCTGACAGAGGAAAGTGAAGAGCTTTGGCACTGCAAGAGACGGCCAAAAAAGGAATTTGCTCAAAATACAGAGAGGGAGGGACAGCTCTCTCTCTCTCTTCTGCAGTGTGTGTGACATGTAGGAGGCTGGCGCTCGGCAGGGAGATTTGAGCTGCGGCCATGACGTCTGGGGTAACCAGGCTGTGGAGGGCTCATGCAGCTAGCTCATGCCAGGGCGTGTTCTGCCTGATGTCTGTCAGGTGTGTCCACACGTTCGTACGGAGAGCTTCCTCAGAGCTGAGTCATTGCAGACGGGAGGAGCCATGCGGGTCACCTGCTCCCTGTGCTGTGGATGAGGCTGGGGTGTCCCGCATGCTGCTCCAATCAGTGGTCCTGGGAGCTGATGGGGGTGTGATCATGGATCTCACGCAGGACACAGGAAACGCAGCAAGACAACGAAAAGCCCAGGAAAATAAGGGCAGGGATAGTGGTGGTGTTGCTGTGGTCTCCAGCGTGAGGCTGGCAGGGGTGGCTTCCCCTCCAGCAGGACTAGAAGGGGAAATTAAAATGTGTGTGTGTGTGTGTGTGTGTGTGTAACCCCGTCCACGCAGTCGAAGAC